AGGGTGGCGGGGTGCCGGGCCCAGCCCCTTAAATCCCCATCGGGCCCCGCCTGGGCTGGGGCCACCCTAGGAGGGAGCGGGGCCGGTCGGGGCGGTCCCACCCTCCCCACCACACCCCGGCCTGGGGCAGCCCGGGTGCCAACCAGTGCCTCCCAGTGCCTCCCAGTGCCGTCCCAGTGCCTCCCAGGGCATCCCAGTGCCTCCCAGTTCCTCGTGGGGCATCCCAGTGCTTCCCAGTGCCTCCTGGGACATCCCAGAGCCCCCCCGTGCCTCCCAGTGCTTCCCAGTGCCATTCCAATGTCTCCCAGTGCCTTCTGGGACATCCCAGTGCCTCCCAGTGCTTCCCAGCACCATCCCAGTGCCTCCCGGGGCATCCTAGTGCCTCCCACAGCCTCCCAGGGCCTCCCAGTGCTTCCCGCCGCTTCCCAGTGCCTCCTGGGCCATCCTAGCGCCTTCCCGGTGCCTCCTGAGGCATCCCAGTGCTTCCCAGTGCCTCCCAGTACTTCTCAGTGCCTCCCAGTGCTTCCCGGTGCGTCCAGGGGCCTCCCAGTGTGTCCTGCAGCCTCCTGGGCATCCCCATACCTCCCACTGCTTCCCAGTAACTCCTGGGGCCTCCCAGTGCCTCCCAGTACCTCCTCAGGCCTCGTGGGGCCTCCCAGTACCTCCCAGTGCCTCCCAGTTCAACCCAGTGCCTGCTGGGGCTTCCCAGTGCCTCCCATTGCATCCTTGTGCCTCCCAGCATGTCCCAGTGCCGTGCCTCCCAGTGCCTCCCAGTGCCTCCCATTGCATCCTTGTGCCTCCCAGCATGTCCCAGTGCCGTGCCTCCCAGTGCCTCCCAGTATGTCCCATTGCCGTCCAGAGCATCCCAGTATATCCCAGCGCCTCCCAGTATTTGCCACTAAATCTCAGTGCCTCACAGTGTTTCCCTGTGTCTCCCAGTCTGCCCCAGTGCTTCCCAGTGCTTCCCAGTGCCTCCTGGAGTGTCCCAGTTTGCATCTCAGTGTCCCTGGGCCAATGCCCCGCTCCCCTGGGGCCTCCCAGTATATCCCAGTGCATCCCAGTGCACCCCCTGAGCTCCTCTAGTACCTCCCAGTGCCTCCCAGTGCCCTTCCCGTCCTTCCCAGTTCATCCCCATACCTCCCAGTTCATCCCCACACCTACCAGGGCCGTCTTGTGCTTCCCAGTGCTTCCCAGTATGTCCCAGTGCCCTTCCCAGTGCTTCCCACTGCCCTTCCCGTCATTCCCAGTGCCTCCCAGTGCCTCCCAGTTCATCCCCACACCTATCCGAGCCTTCCTGTGCTTCCCAGTGTGTCCCAGTGCCCTTCCCAGTGCTTCCCAGTGCCCTTCCCCTCCTTCCCAGTGCCTCCCAGTTCATCCCAGTGCCTCCCAGTGCCTCCCAGTGCCATCCTAGTCCTCTCTGCCAGGTCACCTCCAGGCAGCTGCACCGGGGCCAAATGCCCCACGGCCACTTGCCAGCCCCAAATTTACCCACAATCCTCCGTGGCTCTGGAGGGGGAGGGGCTTCCCCTCCTTGAGGCCCCTCCCACCTCCTCGAGTGGGCGGAGCCCACTTAGCACCAGGTACCGAACTCCCTGGGCTAAACCCTGGTGTGTGTGTGGGGGGGGGGAGGACCCGAGACCCCAAAGGAGGGGCAAGGGCAGGCGAGCCCCAGCGGGCCTCAGTTTCCCCCT